ATTGCTTCAAAGAGGCTCCACCGCACTTGCCGAAGAGAGGCGACGTACCCAGCTTTTTAAACTGAGGCCACTGCAAGGTAGAGATTCGCATCTCAAGATGCGGCATTAAGAAGGGCCTTCAATTCGAAGTACCCATCTCCCCGCACTGGACACGAGTTCCACCCGACTGGCCGAAGCATGTGAGAGCCCCTTACAGGCAAAACAAAAACTTTTCGCCCTCCAGCGGCGACAGAAGTACACGTACAGATTTACCAGGCATACTAGCACTACGCGAATGGACGCAGATCGCGAGCCCAACAACCACACAGCAGCTCCAAGCTCCGTCCAAAGCTTGTCGAAGGTGGCATCCAGGAGTCCCGAAAACCACTCGCTAAGAGCCCGGCTGGATGGCAGTGAGCGTCAGTGGCACATCAGTCGAAACATGCATGAAACTTTTGCCTGTGACAAAACACCTCCGACATCAGGATCGCCGGGAGTGGTAGGAAACCCGCTTTCGCCCAGCAAGCCGCTTTCCCCTTGAAGGTCCATCCGCCGGGTTTGCTTCCGTGGGAATATAAACCAAACGCAGCAAAAGGTCTGCTGCAAGAGCGTGTCCGGCAATGCTTCGCAGGACCCTCTTCAAAGAACGGGCCGAGCTCCGCCCTTTTGCCACGCTACCGATGGCTGTTTTGGCGTCGACTAGGAGGACAGCACGGTGGTGATGCCTCCTACGACTTCTGGCAATCCACTTTACGGACAGCAGAACTCCGTGACACTCTAGAAGTCCAGAATGACCTGCCCATCTTGCTTTGCACGAAATCAGCTGCTTGAAGTCCGTCTTCTTGAGAGGCAGCCGGTGAAGCGTGCCCAGGCGCTCAACTTCGGGTGGGTCTTCCGCTGAGTGCTCCAGCCTGACGTAGTCTCCTCTGCGCTCTGACAGCCTGCCCACTTTCTCTGCCAGGTGCTTTCCACACTGAGCCAAGGTCACGCCGAAGCCAAACTCTGGAGCAGCGTCACACGCCAAGACTTCCGGAAGAAATTCACGATCCAGGCTTGCTGGCAGAAGCGGAGCCAAAGCTAAGGACACGAACAGCTCATCCAGCACACTAGCCGGAACACGCTGCTTTTCTGACTCTGGCTGCTCCCGAACGAAGTTGTAGACTTGCGAGAAGATGCTGAACATTCCCCTCTGCAGCAGACAAAACCACTGTTGCAGGCCAAGCAAAGCATTCAATGCAGCTGGGCTGGCGACCTCGGAAACCAGCAAATCGCATGTTGCAAGCACAAGTCGCGCTTGCTTACCACAGGCAGGCTGCACCATGGGTGGCGACGCACTGATATCACAACCAAGACCCGTTAAACTAGAGGCCAGCGTCACGTCCTTCTTCTCGTTGCGTTGGATTCCATGAAGCGCAAAGCTGGCGTCAAGTCTTCTCAATGTGGATATCCCTTGACGTTTGCATCTGTGGAAAAGGATCACATCATCAGTCGCGACAGCACAGAGTTCCCTTTGCGATTCTGGCAGACGGTGGTCCAAACTCAAAACGTTCTGTTCGTTGACGCCGGCGCAGCGCAGCATGCCTAGTGTACTCCCTTGCGCGACGCACGAGGACCAGCTGAAACCCATGGGCCATGCTGTGTTGACAGGAAAAAGCACCGAGTCGGGCCCAAGAGCTTTCTGACCGTTTACATCATCGACAAAGGAATAAACTTCTTCAATATCCATGCCAGCAGCGGCGCTAAGCTCCTGGACAGTGACGGGTTCCTGTCCAAACCATGCCTGCAGATCGGGTGGGGCAGCCAACAAGTCAAAGTACGTGCTTGCATCCCTCTTGGACATGTAGAGCTGCTCCCCCGGCCGAACAAAGATGTCCAAAAAAGAGCTGGGATTAGCCAGCCTTTCCGGTTTGGGCGGCTTGCTTGCAATCTCGGAGAGGTGCGAGCCGTCCCAGATCTTGCGCTGCCGGGTCCGGTCCGACTTTGGAACCGCAAAGACTTTTGCCACGCCACGAACTTCTGACCGGAGGCGCAGCTTTCCACAGCGCAGCTCTCTTCCTGTGAGAACCAAGTACTCGCGGCGGTCTTGACTGTTGGAAGAGGCAGCCGGAGTCTGGGTGGAGGTAAGTGTGGAACCAAAAATGGCCCCAGGCGCTGAAACCTTGGACCACAGCTCTGCGGGCACCAGTTTTTCAGGGTCACAGGTTGCAGCACACACAGGCAGGTCCACGCTATCACCGAGCAGCGGCACAGCGACAGCGCTCCTTTCGCGTGCCTCCAACTTGCTGAAAGCTCCATGCCAGCAGAACGCACCAGCCAGTCCTTCCTGCAAACGCGAAAGGAACAGATGCACCCTTCCGCAGACGTGCGTTTGGACAGACTTCTGGCTCTCGGAGGGTCCCAAAGAAGCACCGCTGCTAAGGCCACTCTTGGGCATGCCTTGCTCCAAGTGGTTCAAAGCTGTAAGACACAAGTTCGCTGTCACCAGATGCGCATCCTCGTTCTCGGGGTTGCAAGCCAGACCTGGCGGCCACGCCTGCAGCAAAGGCAACGGAAAAAGGTCTCGCTGTCGTCCGCGACCATTGCTTTCCTTCCGCTCGCCAGTCTCGCTCAGTGTGCGGAAAGAGCGTGCAAGAGCCAAAGAAGATGTCTTCAAAAACTGTGAGAGAAAAGAACCATAAGCCGCTGCCGCGGGCTGTGTCTCCCCATCACTATCACGCAAGGTGGTCAAGCCGCCGGCCGAGTCGCGCGACACCCTCGGAATGACTTCCGGAGCAGAACTTCTTGCCAATGCCCTCGAGACAGCTTGGCGAACACGGAGCTTCAGCACACGCCACTTGTTGCGGGTCACTCTGGCCGGAGAACTGTGTGCCAGCCCCGGAGGAGGTCTTATGTCGCAGGCTCTCATCATCTTGTCCATTCCCTTAGGGCGGCCAATGACGAGCAAAAATCTTTGCCGAGCTTGCAATGCAAATCCTCAGAAAGCCACCCCCACGCGGGGAAGAGAAGAGGGGCCTCACATCAGGACTTCTGTACTGCAAAAGCAGGGCAGGCTTGACACAAAACAGCCACTGCAGCTGCGCGTGCTCTGGCCCTGCACCCACAATGCCTCAGACTTGCCTTTTGGTTGGGGACGCCTTTACAGCAATATCCCCTTCAACCCTGAAACCCCTATAAACCCCTTTAAACCCCTATAAACCCCTATAGACCCCTGTAGACCCCGATAAACCCTACCGAAACCCTATAAAGAGCTCTTCTACCAGACGGCTTCTCTTGAGAGCTTAGGCTTGCGACCCTCGAGTTGTTTAGGGTTCAAGGTTTAGGTATGTAGAGTGTAGGGTTTTGGGGTTTAGGGTTTGGGGTTTAGGCTTTAGCCTTTAGGGTTTAGGGCTTAGGCTTTAGCATTTAGGGTTTAAGGTTTAGGGTTTAGGCTTTAGCATTTAGGGTTTAGGGTCCAGGGTTTAGGCTTTGGGGTTTAGGGTTTATAGGGTTTAGGGCTTAGCATGTAGAGTTTAGGGTTTAGAGGTTATATTGTTTAAGGCTTAGGGGGTAGTGATCCATTTTTCAGGTTACGCTGTTCCCTGTTATCGGAAAGGCGCTTCCAAAGCTAGACAAACGCTTTCTATACGCTTCAGGCTCGCTTAGGCAAGTCCACAATCCGGCGACGCTGGCAGGACTTAGGGCGGTCATGCAAAGCACGCAAATATGTACAGTGCCTGGGCAATGACTCTCAGGACCAAACAATTTCGTTCCAGCTTTGAAGGCAATCCGCGGGCTGCAGGGTCAGATCTAGCCTACTTAAGGAATAATTCTAGGGATTCTACCCTAGTTTAAGAGAAAGAGAGACATTCTCCTTTTATATATCTTTACAAGTACACGCAGACACACGTCTACACACACACACACGCACATACGTTTCTCCGTCATACAATATCACAAAATCTGCATCCAGTGTCACAAAATAAAATGATATTGGAAAATTTGAGGGGTCTTGAGTACACTCCCCAAAATCATGAACCCGAGGCTTCGTACAGGGTTTAGGGTCTCGGGTCAAGTTCGCCGAAGACTATGAAGTCTCTTGCAAAGTCATCTGAAACCCGCATGAACCCAAAACGTGAACCCCAAATCCGAAACTTTCAACCACTGACGCTTGGCACTAATCACGCCCTGAATCCCAGCATCTAACCCTGAAGCCTAAACGGATTCTATCAGGGGGATGCTGTAGCTGGAATCAGGAAAGGTGTTACTAGTGTTGTTCGTTTACCATATTCTTTATTGTTGCTATCCGGATTGATCGTAGTATTGTCCAGTTTGTAACATCGAAATATATAACTATTTTTGGTGCTTCAGAGTCGGTCCACAACTCCGTCATTTCTACTCTTAAAGTGACTGACTGGTTCTTAGTAAGGAATGGGGGAATGGGTTGTTGGGACTACTATAGGGGACCTTAAGGGGCTATCATAACTATCCATTCCCCCATTCCCTTCTCAGAACCAGGGAGATGAAACTCCGAGCCCTTGATAGCCCGCTCTGTCAAGCGCGAGACGGCACGAAAGCCATAAAGCTCAGTGACACCGGGCAAGAGGGCTGTCCGTCCTGCGCCGGGCGGGTGGATCTTATGACGCATACGGTGTTCGGATCTGTTTAGTAAGGGTTTGGTGCTTATTGCAATGCTTCATGACCCTGTTGTGTGGTATGCATATTTATGTGACGGGGTTATATGCGGATCTGTTCGGCCCGGCTGACTCGTGTTTACCGGGGCCAGTGTTGTTGGTGAGGTTTGGGATCTGGAGTCTGGAGTGATGCTTGCGCCGTAGACTTCGAAGAAGCCACTCCGCTAGCGTTACGCGCTCGCCACGGTTTCTTCATATCCTGGCTTTGATAATTCGAAAAGGGTTTTGGGGGGTATCACAGTATACGAAGAAACGGTATTAAGGACCAGAAAGGGATGCTATTTCTAGTCATATTGGCAGGTTTAGGGCTCTTTGCTTTTCCGGCCTCAATTTGGTTTACTGGGTTCTTGTTAAGGGATTTCATTTAAGTTACCATAATGGGGATCTATAGCAAATAATATATGGTTTCCTGATTATGGTAACTTAAATTAAACCCCTTAGCAAGAACCCACTTTACCTGAAACTCGAACTCCCGGTTCGGGTCTGTTGACACGCAAGCCACGTCTCGGCTCATTTGGGCAATGTCGGAAGAACCCTAAACCCTAAACCCTCTGCAGATCCAGAAAGCTGAGCCCCGGGCCAAGGTTCCGGAATGGCTGGTTGCTGGGTTTCGGGTTGAACCCTATGAAACCTACCGTTTCATAAGGGTTCCTTAAGATAACTTCCCTAGAATATGGTTCTTTAAAGAGGTAGGGAACTTACAAGTTGTGGTTTTAGGGGAGCGAACATACGAAGACTTGGGCAACCCTTTTTTTTTCACACGGCTCGAGACTCGGTTCTTCAGATTGTGGAATCCATTGGGAAAAGCTTATACTCTCTGGTGCTGGTTTGATTACATATTTTCTATGTTTATAATTAGTTAATAATCGGAACCAAGATGCAACAAAACACTAAAGTATGCCGCTGAACGTGCTGGGAGAACTGCTGGGAGGTCACGAAAACAATCGAGGAGGACGCTCTACAAAGGAGGCACGAACACAGGAGGAACTCGCAAAAGGTAAAAGGTAGCACCTTGCAGAATGCGAGGAGCTCAAATGCTCCAGCTACAACCCTAAACCCAAAACCCCTAAACCCTAAATTTTTAAACCTTATAAGCCCTAAACCCCTAAACCTTATAAGCCCTAAGCCCCTAGACCCTAAACCCGCTCCCTGCCACAACACAAAGAACACAGCCCGGACGGACAGTCAAGCTGGATGGGGTTTAGGGGGTTTAGGGGTTCATAGGGGTTTAAAGGGGTTTATAAGGGTTTAGGGGTTTAGGGTCTAGGGTTTAGGGTTCAGGCGTTTAGGGTTTAGGGGTTGAAAAGGGTTTAGGGCTTAGGGCCTAGGGTTTAGGGCTTAAAGAGCTCCTTGCCGATGTTGCCAAAGCACTCAAGCCACGAGGGAGAATCCAAGAAGTATCGATAGACTCGACAGTAATCTATGGCTATAGTACCCTCTAGACTTTGTAAAGTACTACGAATAAATATGACTCTTCCCTAAACCCTAAACCCCTATAAACCCCTGCTGCAACCCCTATAACCCCCTATAAAACCCTATAAACCTTATAAACCCTCATAAACCCCTAAACCCTAAACCCCTGCAGTGAAGTCTAGTTTGGGTCCCCCCGCCCCCCCGGACCGCAAGCACTGCAACAGCTGCGAGCCCGAGTCCGGTTTAAAGAAACGGAGACGGCTTTAGGGGTTTAGGGTTTTAGGGCTTATGGGGGTTTAGGGGGTTTGGGTTTAGGGTTTCGGGTTTAGGGTTTATAGGGGTTTAGGGGTTTTAGGGGTTCAGGGGTTTAGGGGTTTAGGGGTTCTGGGGTAGTTTTCTCGCCCCTGAAAGGGTGCCTCTTTAAAATCTAAGGATTCCCCTTCAAAGGTTCCCTTCTTGTTGGGGTTCCTCTTGGGGTCCATCGTAGAATAGAACTCTCTAAACTAAGCCCTAAACCCGTAAGTAGCTCCTTTTTGGGGTTACCTTATAGGATTCTAAATATAAACCATAAAAAAGGAACTACTTAGGGGCCTATGGGCAAGCCCCA